GGAGGCACAAGAGGCAGAGGTTCTCTTGTAACTTTTCTCTCCAAAACCACAGTCAACTCAGTCATAGATGCAATTCACCATCTGATTCAAGAAAACATATCACATGAGATCAAGAAAGCAGGAATGTTTTCAGTTCAGCTGGACACAACACAGGACATCTCCTCTCAGGATCAGTGCTCTATTATAATGAGGTATGTTACTGATGGTGTTAATGAGAGGCTTGTTGCAGTGCTGAAGTGTAGTTCATCTACTGGACAGGCCTTTGTTGACATGCTGTCAGATGTTCTGGAAAAAATGGGCCTCAGCAAGACAATGTGCATTGGAAATGTGACCGATGGGGCATCAAACATGCAAGGCCATTATAAAGGATTCTCTTCACTATTGTCTGCACAATCACCAAACCAGGTGCATGTCTGGTGCTATGCAATGTGCTAAATCTGGTGCTTGCAAACACAACCCAGGTTGTTATTTAGAGCGGGTCCCTTTTTGCGCTCCTCAATGGCATTGCTGTATTTATCAAAGAGTCACATCAAAGGTTGAATGTGTGGGAAGAGACAGGCCAAAACAAAAGACGGAGAATCCTTGCTCCTATTGGTGAGACACGTTGGTGAGCCAAGCACGAGGCCCTGAAGAAGGTGTTTGGCTCCTTTGGAAAGCCGGAAAATGGTCTGTATGTCGATGTACTGTTGACATTATCAGCTATCCAGAAACGGACAACAGTAAAACCCTCCAACTGTGTCATGGCCAGAGGATATGCTGAGTCTTTGCTGAAGTATGAGACAATCTTAACGGCTCAAATCTTCCTTCGCATATTTGAGCATACCTCTCCATTGTCTAAGTACCTTCAGACAGCAGGATTGGACATCCTCTCTGCCCACAGAATGGTAGTATCAACACAGGATTAGGGTTGTCACGGTATGAAAATTTAACCTCACGGTTATTGTGACCAAAAATATCACAGTTTTCGGTATTTTTTAAACGGTGTTGCATATGTTCAGAAAGCATTGATAGTCCTGTTCTACACAAACTGAAATAGTTCTGAAAAGGTTTAACAGTGTTTATTAAACCTAAAATAACACAAAGCCTTAGCAAAAGTGCAACTTTTCACAAGTAAAGGAACAAATAGCTTCTTTTCTGGAACATGTTACAGTAGTCAGTGCAGGTTTAAATTATACAAATCCAAACATTCAAAACATAAACAATATGTAAACAAATCAAAGAAACACCACTTGTTTTCTCATATACTTGTTTTCTTCATTATCAAAATGAAAATCTAAAACTCCAGTCCACACTTGACTTGAGCACTGTACAAGTCAACCTTAAAAAATATGTATTTAAAACAAATAGCCACTTTAAACAAATTACTAAAATAACTACTACACTATGTAATCAAATCCAAATGTTCAAGTATAAATGGCATTGAATAAGTAAACAAATCAATGACAAGGAACTAATTGTATATTTCTCTTCATCATCAACAAATAAGATGCTTCATCCAGCAACAGGGTGTCCGTGACACGGTTTAAATGCTGGCAGAGGACGCTGCGGCTGCAGTATATAGTGACTCGTTGCATTCTCCCTAAACCAAAAGTCCTCACGTCATGCATTTAAGCTAAAATGCTAATGTTAACTTACCTTGCACTGGCTGTAGAGACGTGGGTGATGGTCACGCAGATGTGCCATTAGATTCGAAGTGTTGCTGCCTTTTGCAGACACTTGTTTCCTGCAAGTTCTGCAAACGGGATAGCCGTCTTCTATTAACTGTCCCTCAGCATTTTTTAGAAATCCAAAATATGCCCATACTTCCGATTTAGTCTTCTTTGAGGGCTGATGGATGTCCTGGGCGCTGCCGTCTCCTCCTTCGGCCATTATTTCAGCTTCAAAGTTTTGGTTGCAAACTAAAAAGTGCGTGTGTGTGGGAACTTCAGTAGAAGCGACGGTGGCTGGTAAGGGTCACCGCACCTAAACCGCGGCCACGGTAAACCCACTGAGATAATTTAGTTTTTTAAAAACTGGACGGTTATTTTTATTGTCAACTTTTTTACCGGGGTTTACTGCTATACCGGTTACCGTGACAACCCTACACAGGATACACTGAAAAGCTTGGGAAGAGATTTTGAATCTGTGAAAAAAGCAGCAGACACATTTGTCAAGTGGACAAACTCAAAAATCCAAGAGAAAGATGACATGGACATTGAAGTGGAGGACACATTGCCACAAAAGAGGAAGAGGATGAAGAAAGTCTTGCCTGGAGAGATGGCTCAAGATGAAACCCTGGATGATGCAGAAAAATCCTATCAGGTGAATGTGCATAACCAGATCATGGACACCGCAATTGAAGTCATTCATAGACGCTTTTTAATGCATGGGAATCTATATGCCAGCTTGGCATGTCTGGATCCCAGACACTTCCCTCAGCTCTGTACCAATGCTCTTCCCCAGTCTGCTCTTCAAGATTTGAGCAAGTGCTTGCAAGGATTTGACAGCAGGGCAACTAAGGAAAATATACAGGCTGAACTGAAAAGCTTTGCACTCCAGTGGAACAGGTTGAAGGCATCTCCATTGGCAGAATACAAGGCAAGAACAGTACAAGATGGATCAGATGGTGAAGAGGACAAGAGGTTGAGATAACTCCCATAAGCTGTTGCTCCTGCAAAGAATGCCCTCTGTGCTGCTACCAAATACTTCGTCGTTTCAACATGCTAACAGATGCATACCCTGTCCTAGGCCTTGCTTATAAATACCTCCTCACATTATCCCTTACGCAGGTGGCTTGTGAGCGCACATTTTCCATCTTGAAGTTTATTTAAAAACAGGCTCAGAAGCACCCTCTCATCCGATAAACTGGAGGCATTTATGTTGATGGCCTCGGAGAAAGACATTCTCATGGCTTTGGTCTCTGACTCTGAGATGGATAGACTAGCAAAGAAGAGTGAGCTGCTTAAAAAGCTGCTCCACTGAAAAGGTGGGAAATATTTAATAAAGTCGTCATCACACATTATAGATTTTGTAACTCCTTATTTGTTGTTTTAATGATCCTTTACAGATGTATTGTGCATGGGTATTAATCCTTAATTTTTTGTGATTTTGTGGGGCGATGGTGGCACAGGAGTCAAGTGCTCGCCCCGTAATCGGAAGGTTGCAGGTTTGAGCCCCGCTCAGTCTGTCGCTGTCGTTGTGTCCTTGGGCAAGACACTTAACCCACGTTGCCTGTTGGTGGTGGTCGGAGGGACTGGTGGCGCCAGTGCTCGGCAGCCTCGCCTCTGTCAGTGCGCCCCAGGGCAGCTGTGGCTACATTGTAGCTCATCCCCACCAGTGTGTGAATGTGTGTGTGAATGTGTGAATGACTGATTGTGTTGTAAAGCGCCTTGAGGGTTCCAGGACTCTAGAAGGCGCTATATCAAAATACAGGCAATTTACCATTTACCATCAATATTACAGGCTGGATTTTGGGATGATTAGAGACTTAATGATGCATCCCACATTCCTTTCAGTTCTCTAGTGATGGTTTCTTTATGACTGAGTCACCGCTAAATCAAAGAAGTTTCAGGTCTAATGCTGCTATTTATTTAGATCATTTATCAGGATATCTTGTTTTTATTGTCTGGGTTTGTTTTTAACTAACACTGGGTGTACACTACAAGATTTTTACAGTCACACACTAAAAACTTGAAAGGTAGCACCAGGGCTCTTCCCATTAGTCTCGCTACCCCACCCTTAGTCGTGACACAACCTCTGTTGTTATTTGACACTATAATGAATACAAACTGATTGGTTGATTGATTGATTGATATAGGTGTCAGTTTTAGTCCATGACTTAATTTACATTCTTTATTTGTTAACTATCACAGAATATGACTATCCTTTGTAGTATACAGAGAGGAGACGCTGAAAAACTTGCCAACTTCTATGTAGTGTCTGCGGCTAATGTAGTGGGCCTGTCTGAAGAGAAAATTCCAGGGCCGAATTTTGGTCCCAGTCCACCCCTGCTACTGGATTACACTCACTTAACATAGCATTAATATTTTCAGAAACCTACCAACAGATTGAAAGCTAGCGGACGCACCAGTCAAGGCAGGTGTTGTGTCAAAATGTGTTTCCCTATCAAAAACGGTTTTCTCCTACGGCTTTGGTCAAATTTTTCCATCGTTCAATTAAAACGAGTTTTACTTTTTATTAACATTCTCTTTGATGACCCATTTTGTTCATTACAGCGCAAGAAAAACATTGTGATGAAACACATTCTGATAGCTAGCAGTTAGACGTGGAAACAATGTTCATGGAGTAAACGCTAACGAATAACTGTAATGTCCAAAGAGCTAACCATTAAAAACGAAGGTGGGAATACTAAACAAAAAAACATCTACACTAGGTCCAGAGCTAGCATAGGGGACGAGTGATTTGTTAGGGTAAAACTCAAATCTGGTGAGGCCATTTTATAAAAGTTGTAGCTATCGTGAATAACCTAATCCACCTAGCTATGTGCCCCTGTTGTAATATTAAATGCGAGGAGTCGTAAAAAGTAGCATAACAAAACAATTTTATGGAATAAACTGCAGCTAGTAGCCTTGAAAAATAACTTACTTGAGCATCTTGTTGGTTCTGGTCCATTTTGCTGGTGCAAGGTGAAACTCCTGCTCCAGATCAGGGCGGGTTTTAGCCAGGCTGTTAGTGCGCAGATGCGGCAGCCACACAGGAAAATCCACAGAGCGTCAAAACAAGCGCACCCCAAAGAGGTTTGTTCCGGTCCAGTCCAAGCCCCCACAATGCCGCTCTAAAAATGGTCCCATCCCGGAAGTAAGAAAAATTGCAGTTCCACCCTCATCCGCTGGGGGCTGGTGCCAGAAGCGAGCAAATCCTCATTGACTCCCATGTTAAAAATGCCGATTGCACAGCAGAAATAAACATGTTTACAGCCTGGTACCAAAACATGTTTTTTGTCTAAATTATCTAGTTTATACTCATGACAACTCGTGAATTTTTTTCTCACTCTTCTGTTTAAGTGTATTGAAAGCCTAAAATTCTGTATAATTAATGAGCATCCGACACACGTGACCGCCGCCTCAGACCCACGTGACCACAGAGCTAGCTCCGTGGAAAGGCCTCAGTACAGCCTCGGTCTGGCTTGGAAACTGCTCCGGCATTTTGAGTCTCTGTGTTTGTGTATTCTTCTTTGGATATTATTGGTGCAATTGTTGGACAAAATGACTTGCAGTGGTATTAATTGCACTAATAGAGCGTCCAAGGAGTCTCCACTTCATTTTTTTCGGTAAGTTAAAATCTATATTCGTATTTATGTCACTGCCACCTTTAAACTAGCTGAGTTTACCGAAGTAGCTAGCTAACTATCAGTTTAACATGTAGCATGTACTGTTTAACCATGAAATTTAAATGTAAAATACGGTAAAATAATTAATAGGGCATATTTAGATGGGTAATAGGGTAAAACCCAGTGCATTTAAGATAAAAATGGGTTGAAATATGACGGAGCGCTAAGAGGGAGACTTCTGTGTCCAATCTTCCATCCGGTAATCCCCAGTGGTCAGGCCGGGCAGCCTGACCGATCCGGCGCCTACTTGCTGCGCGGTCTGACCGCTCGTGGAGTTTTTCATGTCTGACTTTAACCGCATCTAATACTGTATTACGGCGTGAGCGCAACAGCGACAACTTAATATCGATGTGTAAGCAGCCTGAGTGGTAGGGTGTTTTCATCTGAACCCTTAAAACCTCCAGCAGGCTATGCTGCACTATTGACGTGTTAGCGCGCGGCGCTAACAACTTAGCAACGTGACATGTCTCTGAGAAAGCGTAAAACACGGACGCTTCTTCTGAAGCGGAAAATAACACTTCTTCTTAAGCAGAGCCGGACTGAGCTCGATAACATTGACCAAGCACAGCCACTGGGTCGTTGTAGCTGCCACCAGGCCTGCTGAAGGAACTCCAGCGGGTTTCATCAGACTCGTAAAGTTTCTTGTTTTTGCTGGGGATTTCTGTATTTTACCGCTCCCTCCTGCAGTCTTCCCCTATTAAAATTTAAAATGTGTAACTTTATGTATTGTGATGAATGACTAATATTCATGTAAAACTAAAACGTTAGGCATTTAGGGGGAAAAAACAAAATAATAAACATTAAACAGATGTCAAATAAATCAAACTGTAATTAAACTATATATTTTCAAAGTCATATAGACAGCATGATGGTTTGTGTGATCCGCGCGGTTTCACTTACACCCCTTTAATGATCAGGCTGTTTTTTATTATTTTTATCAGCTGATAGCAGTTAAAATTATGGTAAAAAATACTTTTATCTGTTTTTGATAACTTAATGCCCAGGAAGAGCATCTTCTCTAGACATTAAATATAACCCAAATGTTTTATTATGAGCAGATCTGATGAAGGTGTAGACAAGCAGTCTACAAAGTAAAACTTGTTTAGAGTCCAAACTCTTACTAAAGCTTTTGAAAAGAAAAAATGGTTGAATTTTGAGAAATATCCACAACAGGGGAGCGAGACCTCTGAAAAATGTAAATTTTCTCTGAATTCATAGAATAATGTGAAGATTCTGGGAAAAGCTGGGATTCTGAGATTAAAACGTAAATCTTTCTTATCATAATTCTGGCAGTTTTTGTGTCCTTCTGCTGTGGAAAGTCGTGCAACATGAAGATACTGAGAAGATGCTTACAACCTGTATTTTTATTCCATCCATAAATAAAATCATGAGCTATTTTTTTAATCCAAATTTGATCCAAAGGGCCATCGTTGGTTCCAGACCCGTTCTAGAACATTCCTCTAATCTTAAAGTCATCATCAGTTTCTTCCTTTTAACAAATATTTATTTGTTCAAATATTTAATATTTATAACTGGAATATTTGTTCCTCCCTTTCCCACTGCAGTTAGTCCTGTCCTGCAACCCTGTTTTTGCAGCTTAGTGAAGCCAACCATCACTAACCTGGGGGTGGTTTTGGACCCAGAGATGCAGATGGACTCCCACATTAGCCAGGTGGTTAGATCCTGCTTTTCCCGGCTTTGCCAGCTACCAAAGATGAAGTCCATCCTGAAAGACGTGTCATATTTTCTCCCCAAGCCGGACCTGACCGTCATGTATCGGTCCAAAATAGTGTGATGATATTGTGTTTTTTGTACATAACAGACTTTTTAACAGACAAATTTGTCGCATTCTCCTACACCTCTTCACGGGCTCGCCACAGTAAATATTCTATTTGGCGAGAGATAAACTTTATTGTATTTATCCTAGTGAATCTATAATTAAACGGGTAAACTAGTAGCACCACATCCAACATCAAAGAAAGTAAAATGTTACTATCAGGAGAGGGAGAATGTTTAAGTGGTTAGCAGCAGTGTGCTAGTCGATGGCCCCCTCCATGAGGCCACCACAGCTCAGCAGAACGTCGTTGTAGCTTCTTCTGGGGAGAAAAACACTTAGAGAAAAAATAAAGTTAACAGCTGAAATAGCAGGAAAGAATACAGTTAAAGAGCAGATTGTAGAAGAAAGAAACCCCTGGGTTAAACTGGTCTGTCTACTGCATAATGCTGAACTCTAACATGTGTCCTCAGGGAAGGACCTGATTGGTGTCCAGAACCTGCTGAAGAAGCACCAGGCTCTGCAGGCTGAGATCACAGGTCATGAACCTCGCATCAAGGCTGTCACCCAGAAAGGAGAGACCATGGTGGAAGAAGGTAGAGCAGGTCTGGTCCTGACATGTTTCTGAGGTGTCTGCAGGTTCTGGCTCACTTTTTTTGGGTCCAGGTCACTTCGCTGGTGAGGAAGTGAAGACTAAACTGTGGGAGCTTCATGGACGTTGGGACACGCTGAAGGCCAAGGCGTCCCAGAGGAGGAAGGACCTGGAGGACTCTCTGCAGGCCCAGCAGTACTTTGCGGATGCTAATGAGGCCGAGTCCTGGATGAGGGAGAAGGAGCCCATCGTTGGAAGTCCAGACTAAGGGAAAGACGAGGACTTGGCCGAGGTATGGAAGTCCCTTCCTGAGAAACTCCAATCGCTTTTCTTTGCTCTCTTTCCAGTCCTTCATAATTAGTGTTTCTGTATTTGTCATTTCCTTCGGTTGTCAACCAGACGTCGTTGCTCGTTTGAGCGTCTCATGGGTTAGGGGTAGAAGTGCTGGCCTCGCACAGGAAGTGATGACAAACGTGTTCCCGTCGCTCTTATTTCAAACGGTTTACAAGCTGTGATGTGTGTTCCCGCTGCAGAGCAGCCATGACACGTGGCAGCCGGCAGAAGGCTCACGCTTTTCCACTAAACACCCGCAGAGCTGCGTCTGCGGTGAACTGAGCAGGGTTTGTTTTACGGTGGCGGATCCGATTGGACCATCGCTGCGAGAAAGCTCCACTTGTGTCAGACGAGCTGAAGGTTCTGATGTTCTGCTCCACAGGCTCTCCTGAAGAAGCACGAGGCCCTGATGTCGGACCTGTCGGCTTACGGCAGCAGCATCCAGGCCCTGAAGGAGCAGGCCCAGTCCTGCAGGGTGAGTTCAGAACCCTCGGCCCGTCAGAACATTCTTATCCACCACGTTCTAACACCAGACCTGTTAACCCGAACGCAACAAGGTAATCAGCAGGTGCTTTTGTCCTGCAGGACCTGAAGGCCAACGAGTCCCGCCTGAGGGACATCAACAAGGTGGCATCTGAACTGGAGTCAGAAGGTCTGATGGCTGAGGAGGCTCCTATGGTTCAGGCTCAGGTGAGCGTCACCTGTCTGCAGCAGCTGGTCCCTCTCACTTCCTGGTTTAACTCTGCTCGTCTCTGTTTGTAGCAACAAAAACATCTGGGTTCTGCTCCTGGAAAGGTGCATGTTGTCCTCCGCCTCCACCAGAACCAGACGTGGTGTTTATGTTACCACTCATTTGTTTGTTTGTTTGTTTGTTTACAGGATGAAGCCGACTCTAACACGGCGTCACCCTGGAAGGTGAGTTCATTCAGCTGATCAGAGGTCACCTCTGATGGCAGCAGTCACGGCCGACCGTGCTGACATCACACAGGAATTCAGGTGACCCGGCAGGCACCAGGTGCTGGTGAAAGTGGGGACATGTCAGCTGGTTGCCATGGCTACAGTTATCTTTATGCATCTGTATGACTGCTGACTGGTGTGTTTCCTGTGACCTTTGACCTCAGACCGTACGGTTGGGCGTTCAGACGACGGCTAACTTTAATTCCATCAAGGTAAGAGGAAGCTCTTCCCTTCCTGTCTGAGCGATCCGTCTCCAGGTTTCTTCGTCCGGCGTCCAGCCCGCTGGCGTCCACCTTCATCTCACCTTCATCTCATCTCACTTCATTTATAGTGCAATACTTTCACATTATCATTTTCCCACACTTCTGTATACCTGTATTTTTTTGTTTTTCAATAAAGAATGACAAATTATTTAAGTTTGGTTTTTGTTGCACACAAATATATATCTGTAAAAAATATCTACAAAGCTAATGTTTACATAACAAGTATGATTGGGTTTTGCAATACGGCACTCAAGTTTATTTTAGTAAGATTTTCAAACCAAGTAAAGTTAGTAAAGAACACATTTCTATTGTCTGCTAAGAAACTGTTGGGATTTAAAATGGGCCTGTTGTACAAATAACTTGTAAATGATTATTCCTCACTTTTGTCTTAACCAAAGAAATTCCAGTAATTGAGCAAAAACATTTATTTTTAACACTACAGTTTATAAAACAGGGCGCAAAGTGTCGGCACATGTATGTATGTCGATGGTCCGCCCCAACCAAACCAAGAGACACAGACGTCAGGGAGGCCAAGGTTGTCTCTGCAGCTCTCTGGGCACCACGCCTCACTCAGCTGTCTCCAATGATCCAAATGGCTATGGAGGAAAAAATAACAGGTTTGGCCTAGCTGTTTAAAGTACAAAACCATTCATGAAGTGGTCAAGACAAGTACTTGGTACTTACACTTGCTGCTTTGTGTAGCTGACGTTGACACACAGGCTGCCATGGTGACCTTTTAATAGATCTAAGAAAAAAATGTAATAAAAGAATGAAACTTAAAAACTCCCAGACCTCATGTCATATTTACTAATCAGCTATGGCTGATTTGTTTGGATCACAGTGAGTTACACTAATTCTAATATATTTTTATTTCTATTATACATACATACTTTTTAACTGTTATTTTCACATGACTGTTATCAGGCTCTCTTGTTCTGGTTCTCATGATAATCCCGTGTCTTCCAGTAAGTTATCTTGTGCTTACTTCATCTGTATAATGTCTCTTTACTTTTGGTAAATTGTACTGAGTCCAGAATAAAGACTAGTTGGCTGTACAAGATACAAACAAGTATTACGTTTTGGAAATATATGAAACACCACCAGCATCTGTTAGAGCCTGTGGCGGGGTGCTGAGGGCCGGCTCCAGCCCAGGAATGAGCTCTACACGCCGGCCGGGAGGGTTTCAAACACCGCCATCCTCTCCTCTGCTGGCTGTTCATTCTGTTATGGTTACCGGTGCTTGTGTTGCAATGTGAAACGCTTGGTCTCAGATTTTGTAAGAAAGATAATAAAATATCCCCCCAAAATACGACTTAAATATATTTTCTCTTCTTCATGATACATTTAATGGCTGGTGCGACTCAGGAGTGATAGCGCCGAAAAAAAACTGTACTGAAAACTTGCTCAAAGCAAAATGTATTCATTACGGAAATAAATTATAAACTTACCGATTTAAAACTTTTTTAATACAGGTACTTCTCACGAACAGGCGCAGAAAACCTCCACCTAAACTCCGTGTGAGGTTCAGGTCGATGGGTGTTCCAGTTAGCTCCGGTTGGGTTGAAGCTAGGTGGCTACATCCGTTAGCTCGGCTCCCACCTCCGCTTTAGCTTTGGGTTAGCCAGGGTTAGCTTCAGGTTAGCTCGTAGCTAGTTCGCCTGGGTGTCGTCACTCGAGCCCAGCCTTACAGCCACACCCTCAGCGCCTCCTCTCTTCCCTTTTATGGAATTGTCTGGGCTGGACGGAACCTATGACACGGTCAAAATGGCGGTGGTGGCCACCTCCCATTATAGACAACAAACGTGTTATTGAAGCCAATGGAATCCGTTTGTCCAGTATTTACAGTCTATGGTCCAGTCCCACAAGTCTTTCTATTGGCTGAGCGGTTGCTAGGAGATTGTACTTCCAAGCATGGATGTAATTTTGGGGGGGGGGGGGGGGGGGGGGGGACAGGGGGGACATGTCCCCCCCACTTTTTCCAAAGTCAAGTTTTGACCCCAGCACTTTTTACCATCCAAAAACAATATTACGCTATATTAAATTGACACTGGTTGAGCTCTAGGACCAAGAGGAAAACAACCGTTTGTGTTGAAGCCTGTTTCCCATTAGAGCATACTGTAAAGATACCCCCCCCCCCCCCATGTCCCCCCCACTTCTAAAGTGAAAATTACGCCCATGCTTCCAAGTTTTGAGCAAGAGCAGACAAAATCCGTGAGAGCAGGGGACAGACTTGTGGGAGGAGTCTTGATCCGTGCAGAGAAAAAGTTGTCACGTGAGAAGACAATACCAGTGTAAGAAGGATAAATCTGAGCGCAGAAACAAAGATTTGAAGGAGAACAGAGTGAATTTGAAAGAGAGCAGACATTTTGAGTGCAAGCATTACAAGTTTTGAGAGCAATAATATAAAATCTTACTCTCAAATTAAAAAGTTAGTCTCTTGATATGAAATTCTGCTCTCAAATTGAAAGTTCAAGTGCTCAATTTTTGGCACTTTCATTCTTCCACGCCTCCAGAGTGCCAAAACTCCCAACAGCCGAGCGAGCAGAATCAGAAAACGAGCGCGCAGAAAGGCTGCCACACGCGCAGTGAGGCTGCCGCGCGCATGTTTTCCTCTGCCGTGTGCTCGTTGGCCAACGTGCGCACGCAGGTTTGTCACTTGTGCACATCCTTGTGCGCTCACAGACACAGTTTGCTCCCTCTCAGTGTACAAATGACCTCCTCGCCATGTATATCTTCACTTGAGAGGTTCTAACTTCCACACGCGAGTCCCGTTCGCACGTGCGATGTGGACAATACGCGTGCAAGGGTTTTGGAGGGATTCTGATGCCAGACACATTCATGAGGTATTGAAATGTATTAATTTGTACATTGATTAGCAGGTGACCCAGTAAAGTGGAAAGTAAGGTATTTATTGATATGAAGAACTGAAGGAAATGTCTGTGGAACAAACATTTGTATTGTGGGTGTGTGTGTGCGTGCTTACTTTTCCTGTTACCTGCCAGCAGGTGTGAGCAAAACAGTCCTTGAGGGTGTGTGGATCAGAGCTGTGGTGAGATTGATGTGACCTCTGACCCTTCTGAATGCCCAATCAGTCTGAAATTCACACGTTGTAGCTTTCAGCTATGTAAACACACAGTAAAAGATAAAAGTCTGTACAGTAAAGAGAACCGAGTTACTTAAGGGTAGCCCAAACTTGTCTTTTTGGGCTACTTTTAAGTAGGTTTTTGCTGCTGACAGTAGCCCAAACTGACATGTTCCTTTTGGCCTTTGTTTATGTCTTTTAACCCTCCCACTGTCCGCGTGGCAAGAGGCTAGTCAGAGGGTTAAAAGTAACTTCTTCACCCCTTAGGCATACCTTTCTTTGTAAAGCAAACAAAGACTCAGTAACAAATTTCAATGATGAGCAACTAACCGTAACCCAAAGTCAAATTTAAACACGGAACACAAACCCAAAGTCAAACAAGAAAATGACAAAGACAGCAACCATAACATGCGTAGCCCCTTCTTATTTAAGCGTTCTCAGTCTAACATAAGGCATTGCCCGTTTCAAAGGGGGTGACAGCCCCAATTTCTTCTTAATCTGCTTGGCCATTTGGTTGACGCTCTTCACAGGTGTTCTTTTGAAAATGAACAGAAACACAATTAGCCCAGTGAATGTGTTATATGGTGTAATAGCATTCACATGATTTCAACTTACTTTGGTTGTCCCCTCCAGTTTTTTCCGTACAGATGGCTCGGGGGCAGCAGGAGGAGCAGCAGGGTGAGCCGGATCGGTGCCGGACTGTGTGTCCACCGAGAGGCAGATGAATAGGTCCCTCATGGTCTTTACCCTCTTGAGGTTCTTGTGGAGGGCGTGGAACCTCTCCTGCATCTCCGTGCTGTGGCACATGAATGAGGAGGTTCTGGCGCACCTCCGGGTCATTCTTCCCAAAGCTCTAGAAAAAAGAAAATTAGACTTGCATCACTATATAAAGACACCCATTGAATTGATAGTTTAGTGTTTGATCCCCACATAAGTGGACACAACAATACTGATGTCCGTGATGGACGGCTCCCCCTTCAGGCCCATCTCGGTCCATGTGCCAAGTGGTGGCCCATGTCCCTAGCCTCTCCACAGCCCAGAGAGGAGAAGCAGAAACTGTTTCGCTCCACTGACCTCGCACGCAACTGGAGCCAGGTGCGGCATCAGCCGTACTCCTCGGCGTCATGGTAGATCTGGGCCGTGCCGAATATCTGCACAGTCTTGTGCTCCATGACCTGCAGAACACAAAGTATGACAGAAATCAGTTGGGTCAGTAAATGGTATAAAACCTGTTTATCCAATGTTGAAAATATCAGTAAAATATCCCTATAAAGAGATCTGTGTTTTTAATGGTGGAAAAACAACAAGAGATTTCAGTGATACTTACATTGATGAGATAGCACTTGTCATCATCACCTATGCAGGGGTGGACCTTTAAAGCGCCCGAGCGCCAATGGCGCTAAATTTTCTCGTCGGGTGGTAAATACTTGACGACTTACCGCCCGGGTGGCGCCCAAGCCTTGTTTGTCATTTACACACCGGCTTTCACCTACATCATGGCCACGCCCTGTAGGAAGCCGCCGTTTTCGTTTCGCTCGCGAGAACCAGCGCGCCTCTTGCCACGTACTGCACATACTGTACGATTCTAGTTATAGACACGTGAACTATAAGTTCAGTATTAAAGACGAAGTGGAACCACGCTAGAAACACACAAGCACGCAGGAAGATGGCACCACCACAGGGATGGGTTTTCTTGATGAAATCTCAGGCAAAACGCTTTAAAACTGGTGAGGAGAAGCGAGACAGTTCGAAACGGTATGAAGCAGAGAAGCATCTGCGTAGGTGGAATGATTCTTGGCGGTTTAAAGAAGACGGGAGGCGCAGAGAATGGCCGTGTTTGAGTTGAGCAGCGCCTCGCCTGGAAAACAGACGAGAGCAGACGGAAGCAGCAGGGGGAGTGGCTGAAAGCCGGCGTTTAAGTTGGACAGATTTCCCTACATGTGTAGCTCGGGGGTGATGATGGCTGAAGATATCGCGTTAGCGTTCACACTTGTTCAGTTTTAATTCTGGTGCCTGTTAGCAGCTGAAACACATCCTCACGTGCTTGTGGATATCATATATTGCATATGAAGACATGACTGTAATAATAAGTAAAGGTTATCAGCTGTAGCTTCAGTGTGCTCATAGGAAACGTGACAAAATAAAACAAAACACATTTGTCTTTATGGCCTATATAGTTGTCATCATCAACATAACATGATTTACAGAATACATGTGAACAACTAACATTTCATGTTCTACCACCAGATGTTTGGATCAAAATATGAACCAATCAGATCTTAGATCAGGTGAGAGCCAGGCGTTTCCTGTCATCCCCTAGGTTTTGTAGCCGGTGGAGAGCAGCTGCAGCACCTTGCTCCAAAATCTGCGGCCGCCTTGATCTCACGAGGTTATCGTTGCCTACGTATGCATGACATCAGAGCAAGTCGGCGTCAAGTCGGACACAAATCTAACTGGCATGCACTGCTCGCCGATCACCGCTGGTCTAATCTGCACAGAACTGGCTCATCTCGAACACAGCCAATGGCTCGAGTACAGCAAAGCGGAGTTGGTGATGTACTGCGTTGTATGCCGGAAGTATGCGACGACAAAATCGAGTTTTGTTGAGGGAACAAACAAATTCAAACTTGAATACGTTATTATGTTTGTGAATGTGTACAAAATAAAGGTTTATTACATTTAAAACGGTTCAGTTGTTACTTTGACTCGTTTTGGCAGCTGACCAGCGGGGCCGGTAGATTCTTAGCGGGGCCGGTAAATATTCAGAGTTACCGGCCCGGCTGGCCGGTTGGTTTTGAAGTTAATGTCCACCCCTGCTATGGCCTCCCTCACTTCCTTCACCTTCATCCTGGTGAGGACTCCGGTGCGGTGGCCATAGATGGAGCACAGGTAAGCCGCAAGGTACCCGAAGAACCGGTACCGAGTCTTGGGGTACCTCACAGGAGCTCTCTTGATGTCGTCTGAAACAAGAGTTAAAGAGAGAAGAGAACAAAAGATTTGTAGATTTTGTGGCACTGTCAACAAAAGGTTTTAGAGAGAGGGAGAGGCATCATGGACTCACCGAGGAGTGATGGGATTTTGGCCCGAGCAAGGGCCTGGCACCTGGCGAGGTCCTCCTTGGTCACCAGGTTCAAGCTCTTCAGCTCCTTGGCTTTGAGCTGGTGTCCAGGGATCACTCCCCCCAGGTCCCTGCTCAACTTCCTGAGCTCCATAATAAGCAGCTTTGTCTCGCCACGAGTTAGCCTGCAGTTCCTGGGTGGAGTGGCCCGGATGTACTCTATGAAACAAATGGCGTGGCCCACATACAGAGACACTGTGGTGGGGCCATGCCAACTCTCTAACTGTGTAAAGAACAAACTTAAGAGACATAAAGGTCTTGATTAAGTGAAAATAAAAAAATAAATAAACATGGATGTAAGCAAGTCAGTAGAGAATGAAACGTTGGAGAGAACACAGATATAAGTCAGTAAGGTAAACTATTTCCGTATTCAGCACTTACCACTTTAACAAAGCCATGTTGAATAGGCACTCGTAGCTCCAAAACCGTCCCGACTCGCAGCCGTGTATCATATACTTAATGAAGAGCTTTCGTCTGCTGACCTTGGTCTCGGCATTTTCTTGCATTTTTGTGGTGCCCTTTTCACAAAATACAAATGCTGCGTTGTCCTCCAAGTAAGAGTCCATAAAGATGCAAGACAAGATGATGAATGTAGCAAAAAAAAAAAAAAAAAAACACTCCACACACCTGCAAATACACCATGTATTCTTTCTTACCAATGGCGGGGCCGAAGGTAATTTTCCGGAGCCTGGACGCTCTACCATGACCCCCAAAGTTGGGTGCCACTGCCCAGAATGCCTTTTGGGGACAGCTCCTTCTCTGACTCCTCCTTATAGATGAACATGGCACGCTGAGAGCGGGAGGTTTGGACCCAAAATTCAGAAGCCCAGACAACTCAGGCAGGAACGGTTGAATTAATGAAAATTCTTTTATTAGGATGATGGGTAAACATCCAAAGGCAGGAAGCCAAACAAAAACAAAGCTCCTTCATGAGCAACAACTTGGAGTTCCTGAGGAAGACAGAACGCTGACAACGACAATGGACCAACAAACGCTGAGGGACAAGACAGGGGTTTTAAACACGAAGGAAGCAATCAGGGGAAAAGGTGACAGGTGAGACGAGTGAGGTCTAGAGGGGAGACAGGTGCCATCAACAAACTAAATGGGGGAAAGAACTAAGCAGAGGGGGTGATAAACCATAACCTATAAAACACTAAATAACTAAACCTAAAGACTAAGGGCAAAGATAAACAACTAATGACTCGAGGGGTGAGGAGGACTAATACAAACCAATAGGAACTACACGGGAGTGACTAGGAGGAAACATGAGGGAAGCCTATAGAGAGCTGGGGAACACAAGGGGTCACATGAGGGGAACACAGAACATGACAGGACAAAACAAAACACCATTAACAACGTTACTACATGACCCAATTGCTTCATTGGGTGTAAACTAAGTCACAATGAATCTAATTATTGATGAACTCATCCATCTCACTCACAGCGCCAGACTTGTCGCTGGCCTCCCCTGGTGACTCTGGGGGAGAGGTAACATGCTTCGTCTTCATCTTCCTCTTGTGTGGCTGTGACGAAGTGGGCTCCTGGGTAGGGAGACAAAACAATAATGACACCTGATCACGTTAAGAGATTTGGCGCAAAGGAAAAATTATGGCACTGTAATGATTAATAGTAACTTTTAAAAAATGTTTGTATGTTCTCACCGTAGTCGAGGGGGAGACAGAAAAAGACAGCATCCTCTTAACTGCCTGCTGGGGCTGCTCCACGGGCTCCTCCAAATCAGAGGAGGGCGAGGGCGAGGGCGAAAGATGGAGCCACATCTGCATCTCCTCCTCCTGAGGCTCGGACCGTGGCTGCTCATCATGAGAGGATGAATCAGCTGATGGGGATGGCTTTTTGAAGCACCTCCTGAGAGGTGCTATAGCAATGATATTTTCCTTCTTCTGTACTTGCTTGCTGGCCTCCTGAGGCCCGGACCGTGGCTGAGCCAGCCTCTGCAGGGGGAAAGAAACCGTTGTTCTGGCCAAATATTTCTTACTCTACGCTGGTAATGAATTGGTTATCCAAACAAACTGATTATGGATAGGATGTGTATTTGGGATGTATTTTTAATTCACTCACCTTGGCCTCAGTCAAAGCCTGCTGAAGGTGACACACCTCCGTGGTCAGATAGTGCACTCGCTGCATGCAGGCGGGGTTCCTGCTGCTGTGGGTGCTGCTGGATGTGGGCGCCTCGAGATCGAGCGTGCTGACCATCGGAGGGGTGGGGTCAGTGGCCCGCAGCTCTCTCAATAGGTCAACGGCCACACTCTGTTTCAGCCTTCTCACTTTCTTGGCTATTGCCTTTCCACTCAGGTCCCTGTGTGCCTTCATGTGCTTCTCTACATTAGCAATGTAGGAAAGACAGTTGGGCATGGGGCAGGGACCTGGTGGAACGACAATACGGTCGGCGGCGTATTTATTCAGTATGTCCCTCTCCTTCTCATTTGCCACAATGTGAAATTCCCGGATGTGCTTTGACACGTGTAGCAGGCGTTTTCTGCACATCGGGCAATTTCTGGCACTCTTGGTTTTCGTCATCCTTAAAAGTAAAGAAAGAAAAGGTTATTTCACACATAACATTCCATACCATACTGTCATGAACGGAGAAGGACCCGTGACGACACCAAACACAGTAAGGCACTTTTAAAAGTCTTTATTAGATGTGCCGTTACCCGAGGAGCTGAGCTGCAGAATGCCAAACAGGGAAATCTGAAGACGAGGTAGAATAATCCAAGGAGGGCACGACGAGAAGAAAGGTCAGAGGACGAGGCAGGGTTCGGGATCCGGGATGGCAAAGCAAGTAACAAGTTGGAGAATCTACTGATGGGAGTTTTCAATAATCTGGCACTGGTTGGAGAGCAGGCTGGGTGTTATTTAGCAGGGGGAGCAGGTGTGCGTGACGAGCTGATGACAGGGTGCAGGTGATGGTAATTAAGTGGCTGAGGGATTGATTGAGGAGGCAGCAGAGGCAGAGGAGGGTGTCAGCCGGGGAGTCATGACACCATACCAGTTTATTTATAAAGCTAATTTATAATAGCACATTAAACATGTGTGGTGATGTATAGCTGGTTTAGATACCATACCATACCAAGTTTACTTGTATAGCACATTTAAACACGGTATGAGAGCTGACCAAAGTGCTGAACAAAAACGCACAATAAAAACAATAAAAAATAGAAAATAAATCCATTAAAATCGAGTAATTCAAATCGAAAAGAAAAGGAAAAAGAGAATAAGTTAGACTGAATTAAAAGCCAACGAATAAAAGTGAGTTTTTAAACGAGACTTAAAAAGGGAAAGAGAGGAAGAGAGTCTGATCAGGAGGGGCAAGTGGTTCCAGAGCTTCGGTGCACAAACTGAAAAGGCGCGCTCCCCGCGGGATTTACAGCGGGAGCTAGGGACATGGAGGAGGTGCTGGTCAGCTGATTGGAGGGATCTCATAGGGACATAAGGGTGGATGAGCTCAGACATGTAGCCAGGTGCTAAGTTGTTGAGGGATTTAAACACAAAAACCATGATCTTAAACTCTATCCGGAGATGGATGGGGAGCCAATGGAGATTTGCTACAACCGGTGTGATGTGTTCTCGCTGCCTGGTGCCAGTCAAGAATTGAGCTGCTGCGTTCTACACAAGCTGAAGGCGAGTGAGAGTGGAGGAGGAGATACCATATAGCATTGAATTAGAGTAGTCGAGATGGGAAGTAATGAAGGCATGGACAACTGAATGGAGATGACGCCTTTTTAAAAGAGAGGGTGGTCGCTGTAGACCTACAAAGGCGGAGCTGCACCAGAGTCAGCCCCGCCCATTCACGCAAACTCAGCCTAGCCCACTGACTTCTTCTGTTTTTGTTTTTTTACTTTATCGCAAACTAACCTGACCCACGTGAATTACGGCTGTTACTAGTTTACAATTGTTAATGCTATGTTCTATGCTCCAATTAAACAAGGTAAATATAACTTGCTAAATGACAAAGCCTGAATATACCCAGAAATGAAAAGGTTTCTTTTAGCAAAAATCTGCCCACAGCCGCTCCAACAAAAGGGGCCTACAATAGCATTTAAGGCTATTGAATGGGTTCTGGTAGTCCAGTGGCAAGACCATCTGCCTTAAGCTTGGTTTATGCTTGACGCATTCACTTTCTGCGCGGTGATGCGGCTCGCGGATGGAACACGCTTCACAACTCGCAGCTTTTATGGTTCGTGCGGCTCGTCTCTGCGGTGAGCCAATATTCTCCCAAACTGTAGGGGGCAGCATGGAGCTCTACGGCATGCACCCAACACTACACCATAGTAGAAGTAGAAATTACTGTTTACAACATGGCATTTCAGCATTTTTAACAGCGTTCTCGTCTTTTCCGACAGTGCGAGCTAATTCTCTCCAAGAATTATTAACAACATGTTGATCACGGTGATCTCTGAGAGCTGAATCATACAAATGTCTGTATTTACGAACCTCTGCCATACTAGTTCTTGCCGGTCCGCCATGTTTTTCTGCGTCCGTCCGTGTGGTTAGAAATTTTCCGAGGTGCGCGTTGCCGAAATTCTGGGCCGTGCGGAGGCGCGGTGGAAGGGCGTGGTTGTTAAAATGACGCAAAATGACGCAACTTTTCCGCGCGGAGCCGTGCGGACCTCGCGGACACGTCAAGCATAAACCAAACTTTAAGTTTCGCTGTCCCCTCAGCTGATGCTGGTTTGACTCTCGGTGGGGTCTGCAGCAATCTATTTAGCCATCTGAAACATTTAATTTGTTTATATTTTAGTTGTAATGTTTATTTTCAGCAAAATATTTATGTCTCTAAAAGTTCTTTGAATTTGGTCATTCCTAAACAGCATTTTAGTTGAAACTCTGCTCACAAATGGACTCACACTGGCTAAATAAATGAATAAATAATAAAAAAAAAAACATTAGTCATTATATTGTAAACGGTATACCAATAAATTGTTGTAAACATAGTACTGGCAAGTGTAGCTAGAAAAGACGAAAAAGGGTTATAAACTACCTATATGCTACCGCTACTGAGAGGCGAACCTGCGCAAAACAGCATGTCAACCAGCCTCCATAACAATTTCACCACTACATCTGATAAAATGCAAGTGGCGTTAGATGTAATTGTGCCATCCAGTGTGTCTTTGTAGATGGGATGTATGGTTTTTCCGGCGGTGTCTCAGTAGAAGTCATTTCAGAAATAATTCGTCAGAAAATTCACAGAATATCCAGATATGAGAACCAAGACTAGAGGTGTGAATCTTCACTTGTCTCCCGATTCGATTACGATTATTGGGTCAACGATTCAATTCGATTCGATATCCCGATGCATCACGATTATTTCATATTGATTTGTTTTCATTGATAAATAGAAGATGTCAGATAATTGCTTTTTATTTTTTTTATCAAAAACGTAATTGACACAACCTGCCATCCCTCAAAATCTCTCCATTCACAACAGGTTAGGACAAAACATTTTAAACATTTAAGAAGATTTAACAAAGTAAAACAATCTGTTTCCTCGTTCAACACCACGCCTCAGGCTGAGAAAACACGCTTTACAAAATCTCACAAAATCTAAAAAAGGTACTGAAAACCTACAGGACACATAATGTAATAATAAAATACATAATGGGTTCATATATGAGTGTTTAATGTCTCTGAGCAGCTCTAGAGTCAAATATTTATGCCACAGTTCAAGGGTGTCAGAAATAACACCAAATGAAATGTTTGACTTAGTTTATTTTATTTGAACCCAGTGGTTCGTTTCTGAAATGTTGGAGAATGAATCAAGTTCAGTTTGATGCAGAAAATAATAAAACACAAAACAAATTCTACACTTCCAATAATATTTAAGATGTGTGTTTTATTCTTTCTGGTAATAACACCAGCAGAAGGCTGTGGACTGGATTAGGATTAAATTACCCAGCTGATGGATCTCCGTCACTAACCAGTGTAAGGTTATGAAGTTCATTGTTTTCAACTCCATACAGCTGCCCCCTGTGCACAATAACACCGTGTAGAAAAACCAAGGTCGGGTGTTCCTCAGACTGTTTACATTCCAGGAGAAGAGTCCGAAGGAGAAGAAGAAGCTTTACCTAATCAAAGTACTTTATTTGTGATTAAAATTATTAAGCAAAACAGATGTTGATCAACAATAATCAAGTGAATGATCTGTGAAATAAATATGTCATGAATTATGTTTAATGAAAACAGGACTACGGCACAGACATACTGATCCTCATCTCCATAGAAACGCATGACACATTGTTCCAACCAATCAGAGCTTTCGGCTGCCGCAGGAGAATCTGGTGTTGACTTCAAGTGTCCAATCCGCTTTACTCCAACTTATCAACAATTCAGAGATATAAAACAAGGCAACGCCATTTTAAGTCAGTTCCATTTTGACTTCAGTTCTATTCACCGTCATCCTAAAGAAAAGCACAGCCTGGCCAGATGTGTTTCGTCTTTAAACTAAGAACTGTGAAGTGGGAGATTTTCGTCGTTTAATAACCAGACGACATCCTTTCAAAATAAGAGCACCTGCCAACGCCGCCGAACGGTACGGGGGTCGACCCTCCAGACGGGCTTTGAAACGTTGTGATCGCTGCACCGACAGCTCCAGCGTACATCCGAGGTCTCCAGACCTGGCATTTCCTGATCTACCTGGGAGACCCCCACTGGGTACGTACACGGCAAAATAGCGGCTCATGTCATCACTTTATAAGCCTCGTGATATCTAGTCATAACAAAGACGACCAGATTCATTGACGTCAGCCTAGAGAGTCTGAACCAGACACACACACACACACACACACACACGCACCAACACAACATCCGAATCCATTTTCATCCATCACAGAGTTAGTCCTGGTAGATTGTTTAGAATTTATAATTCAGAAATTAAAGATTCTCAAACGATCCCATCTCTCTCTCTTTTCTTGTCTCAAAGTCAATACAGAGTGTTTAATTAAACTCCCTGATGATAAAAACAGCCTATTCTTCTGTTTATAAAAAAGTGAACTACTTACAGTGTATTAAAATACAACTTTAGATAGTTACATCACTTCAATTCCGTTACACCAGCTAACTACAAACCTTTCCACTGACCTGTCCTGTGGGACCCTCACCATGTAACCCTCATGTCCATGCTGTCTCTGGAGGAGCAGATAGGAAACAAGATCTCCTGTAACTTAAAATGAACCAAAGCTTCCTCCCAGTTTCTCTTTAAGCTGAATTTAACATCAGTTTATCATCATGAAACAAACTAATAAAGTGGAACAAGAACTTCTATCTTCTATCTCTCTCTCATTTTAACTTCTCTGTGTCCCTAAATAAAAGACAGACGATCACGCTGCACCCGCCGTCATTGACCCCGCCCCCTCCCCAAGACCGGATCTCCCTACATTACAAGCAGTCTGACTGAGCGCTTCCAGGAGAAATAATAATTAAATTATGAAAATAATGCGTGTTTGAAGCATCGGTTTGGAGGAGCGTCCTCCGATCCTCTCTCTTGTGTGAGCCAACAGTCTCTCTCTCTCTCTCTCTCTCTCT